CTTCAAACAGTACCACGCAAAACAATTTGGAGCTGTTGTCTGACATACAGCCTTCAGCTACCTTTCTGCAGAATGACAACAAAAGGGTAATTATGAAAGTGGGGAATAAGAGAATATATTCCCTAGGTTTCACTACTTTTACTGGTAATAAGGCTTCTGAGTATTTAAGATGCTTTGTTATGGTCTGGCTAAGTTACGCTGCTTCCTTAGGAGGACTGCAGATATAATGGGGTAGTTAACAATTTGTAGTGAATTAGTTGGAGTCAGGGTTGCAGTTCAGTGATTCGTTCTTTTGGTAGCAACACTGATCTGAAGTATTGCCATACCCATGGGATGCAATCTTCTGCCATGTGGTAACACAAGATATTTGTCAGATTGCAACATGTACTGGCTTGGAAAGTTGATCTGGCATTGAAGAACACAAATTTTTCATGTTAAAATTAGGTCAATTTGTGTTCTGCTGTTAATGTGGGTTACCACTTCTGTCATGAGAAAACAGAGGAGAGTTGAAAAGGTGGGTGGGAAGAGAATTCAACAGAAATAAATTCTAAAATCCCCTTAATTTAAATTTCAGATTAAATGGCAGCAGCTGACCTCAAAAAAAGGTTCAGTTCAAGATTAAGATGCTGGGTAGGATAATTGCCATGTACATGGTACATAGGAAGCAGCTGATACCCATTATTACTGTCTGGTTTTATTATGAAATTAAAATTTTAAACCAATGTGAAAAGACAGTTTTTCTCCTAAACCATCATGCTTCTGGTCTGGGAAAATATAAGATGCAATATAAGAAACACGTAGGTTGGTCTTCAGAAGGGTATGTGTTTAGCTATGTTTTAGGAATGGACATTTTTGTGTACTTTACCATGGGTAACATTTGCTGTTGTAAGTTTCCTTTCTTAAAACTGCTTCAGTAAAATTTAGATTTCTTGCAGCTTTTAACAGGTGACTGGTGCATAGGGTCTGGGCTGATTGCTAATAAAGAAAAAGGAAAACATGGGCCACATTCAGAGTTTGAAAGCTGTTTTTAACTTCTGTTTCTAAATTCTTTGAAATAACTTATATGTCTTAATTTGTAGCAAAACTTTTAAATATTGGGTCATTTTTTTCTGGAATAATGTACTCCTAGTTTGTAAGTCTTTATTTTTGTTTGTTTCTGGAAAGGTGGCATACTTCTATTAGGCGGTTTATAGTGGAGATTTATTGCTTAGTGTTTCTTATGTTGCTAAGTGATCTTGTTTACTTTTTTTGCCTTGATGATTCCTCCCCTCCCCCAAGTGGTGTTGAGTTAGTGCCATTGCCTGGATGGAAATTTCTAGATTTGACTCAGAATGAGTCAACTATTGTGTAATCTATTTTTTACTGGCACATACCAGTAGTGTTACCTGGTATTTTGATATCAAAGCTGATTATTTTAATAACTTGGAATAATTAATTGGCTGGCCAGGGATTGAGGTAGAAGAGAGGTTAAATAGTGTGCTGCAGGTAATGATCAAACAGTACTATAGTTCTTGGTTTTTACCAGAATTGGGAGGAGTTTTAGTGGCAAAGTGAATTGAGCGGTATGTGCACTACAGGTAAGCAAAAACTTTTGGCCTTTGTCATGGTTTAAACCCAGCCAGCAACTAGGCACCACGCAGCTGCTTGCTCACTCCTCCCCCCTGCCCACAGGGGGATGGGGAGGAGAATTGGGGGGGAAAAAAAAGTAAAACTTGTGGGTTGAGATAAGAATGATTTAATAACTACAGTAAAATAAAATGTAATACTAACAATAATAATAGTAGTGGTAGTAATGAAAAGGAATATAATAAAATAAAATTTAAAAAACCCCAAGGAAAGACAAGTGATGCACAATGCAATTGCTCACCACCTGCTGACTGATACCCGAGCAGCGATCTGCCCCTCCTGGCCAACTCCCCCAGTTTATATACTGTGCATGAAGTTCTATGGTATGGAATATCCCTTTGGCTAGTTGGGGTCAGCTGTCCTGGCCATGCTCCCTCCCAGCTTCTTGTACACCTGCTTGCTGGCAAAGCATGGGGAACTGAAAAATCCTTAACTTAGGATAAGCGCCAGTTAGCAACAACTAAACCATCAGTGTGTTATCAACATTATTCTCACACTAAATCCAAAACACAGTGTACCAGCTAGTAAGAAGAAAATTAACTCTATCCCAGCTGAAACCAGGACAGCCTTTTATAACATCTGTGGTCTACTCTTGTAATCTACATAATTGCTTTTTCTTGCGTATTTTGTCTGCCAGTATTCTCTCTTACTGCTAGTCTGCACTGATAGCCTTGAAAAGGCATTATAGTTTAAGGATAAGGAGGTTTAATTTAATCTTAAGCTTGAAGCTGATTTAGGCTATATCATTAAAAAGGAGCAAGCAGACATTTTATCTAATTTTGTCTTTTGTCCTCCCACTCCCCTTCTCTCATCCATAACCTTTTGTTAAAGCAATTTTAAGTCAGATAATGATGTTATTTGCACAGCTTCCTTCATGGTAAATGACCAAGAAAAACTGAGTTTTCTCGTAAAAGTTTACTGTCAACAACTAGCAATGAGCCTCAGCTGTGTCAACAAACGATTTTAATTTTGGAATACCAATAAAATCAATTTAGTAATTCATGTTGTGTTTCAAGGAGAACTTGCTCATGCTAGAAAAAAACAAAGCAGTTTGTTCAACAGGGAAAAAAAAACTCAAATAGGTTCAGTTTTTGCACATGCATGGGCATTATCATTAGAGGCTTGGACACACGCATATGGCAGGGTTTCTCTTGGTTACTTTGCCATGGATGCTATTGATTTGTCCTTTATAGCCAGCGCTGTATTGTAGTTGCTGAAATCATATCCTGGTTTTCCTCATCTTTATGATCCTGTGAAATAGCTTGTATGTGGCTAAAATAACTTACTGTGGATTACAAGAAAGTTTAAGTATGTGAACATTTTTAAAAAGCCATACTGTCTGAAGACAGCATCTTCTGCTACTTCTAGCTCATTCTTTTAGGATATTAGCAAATCTTACTTCTTGCCCATCTTTTGGTTTGATTTTCAAGGTTTTTGATCTCTGAATCTGTGAAATGTGTATTCTATACTCACCTGGTTGAGATAATGTCAACCTCTGTAGCTTAAAACCAGTGGCTTGGCAACCTTGAATTTTTTCTTTATCTTAACAGCTTCCTGCATTCTGTATGTTGCAGCTTCATCTTGAGGACAATTAATAGGTGTGTTGAAGATAACTGTTTGGTAGTTCAGTGCATATTAAACATGAGGACAAGGCTACATTACATTAAAGGACGTAATACTTTTTTGACAAATTTTTAACAGAAAAAGAAAGGGAGAGATGAAAAAAAACATTGAAAGGGGAATAAAAGCAGAGATGAGAATAAAGATTATGAAGGAGGAACAGATTAGGAGTGAAATGGAAGGAGGAGAAATAAGACAATTAAGAAAAATGGAATGAAAATGCAGTAAAGGCAGTGAAGCAAATAATCAGACAAGATAGGTATCTAGCTGAGGGTTTTATTTGGCACCTGTTGTCACAGTATTTGAACACATTTCATATATAATTAATTGTGATAGTGATGTAAATTGTGTCTGGGTGTTTCTGACACTTGTTGCTTGAGTTAGAGGGGTTTTTGGGTGTACGGGGAAGGGTAAAGTCTAGAATGAGAAGGGGATTCCCATGCTTTGTAACTCCTGTACTTGCTGTGGAAAGATGGTCTGAGAAGAGTTTTGCAGCACTTCAGATTCTGGATTTCCATTTTTATTTTATTCTGGTTTTTTTGTTTGTTTGGTTTTTCCCATGGGAGGTTCTTTTGTAGGTAGCTATTTTGCACTGACAGGACTCGGTGTCAGTCTTTCTTGGTGACTCTTTCTTTTATATTGACATTGCCCCAGAATACTGTGTGTGTTAGAGTTATTCACAGATTGCTCCTTGGTCTTAACACTGCAGGGAAATAATCTGTTATTTGGGAACATCTATGGTAATATAAAGGCAACAAGCAAAAGGGAGGAGATACAGAAAAGAGAAGGATGAACAAAAAAACTTAAAACTTTTTCATAATTTTATAAATTACAGAGTAGATTTAGAAATAATTTAAAATCTATAACACTTTAGGCAAATATTTTAAAGTTATTTTGAAAATTATTTATGACATAGAATGTGGGACTGCATGGATGTGTATTAATGGACATGACCGTACAGTTCTTGTGGAGGAGTATGTTAGCTGTGGTCCAGCAGCTTGCTTTTGAAAATTAAGCAGCTTGACTTCTAAAGTGAGACTATCTCAAATTACGTATTTTGACGGAGTTTTCCTGTGGTGGTTTGTGGTGGTCTAGTATATGTTCCCGCTGCTGGCACAGTACCCAGCCCTGAGGAATTGCTGGTCACGAACAGAGTCTGTCTGCTCTACTAAGAACAAGTAGGAAGCCTAAATTTAAATTATCTGTTTTATAAATATCTAGTATACACGTCACAGGCTCTGCATTGTCTCTTGGAACACTTCATCTGGCTCTAATCTGCTGCTAGCTGCCATATTGATTAATGAATGAAGCAAAAAGCAAATTACTTTGTGATTAGGATTGTTGTTGGAGTTCTTATTTAATTTTATAAGCCATAAAGAGTGTGGCGTGCTAGCATTTATGCTATCAAGACTAGAATATACAAGTAATTTTGTAAAGCTGGTATGTATTACTCTGGAGAATAAGTAAAGGTTGTTGGTGGGGGGGAGAAGCTAACATGCTTTGGTTGGCATTGGTACCAGGAAGTGGAAATACATAAACTAGTGAATAGGGCAAGAATGTCACATCAGCACAATATGGCCGAGAATTTCAAAGGACACAGTTTTTTTAATTGTAGTTCTAAAAATCTGTGTATTCCCTTCTTTCTCCCAGTTGAAATGTATTAAAGAAAAAATTTCCGTTCAAGTTAGTACTACAGAGTTGTTGATGGATGACCTTGTGTGCAATATTGCCTAATGTTCTCTTCTTTTTTACAGAAAGATCCAGCTTACCTGAAGCTCTGGTTGGATAGTTTTGTTTCTAGCTATGAACAGTTTCTGGATGTGGACTTTGAGAAGCTGCCAACTAGGTATGTAGAATTATGGACCTGTTCACCTTTGTTTGTTATCTGAAACAGACCTGGCTGAGAGCCCAGTCTTGTTCAATGGCAATACTGCCTTTAAACAAAAGAAAGATTTTTAATTGTTGTGTGGCACTCCCATTCTTTTGAAGGTCAACTTGGGTTGGGAATGATGAAACTAGGCAAATACTGGTATTTGCATTATATCAGGAGCTGGCATGAGTATTCACTTGTTCTTGCTTGTAGAAATATTATTCCTTGTGCATTGTTTGAATAAGTATTCATTAAATGTTGCGTATGAAGTAGTATTAGTATTAGTGCCTGGTATCTGTATCAGCAGTGACTGAAGAGAAGTAAGATGTAGGTAAAGAGTTTTGTAATTTTATTTCAGGGATTACTTTAACATTAAGGATAAGATGAAATGCTTAATGAAAGATTTGGATATCTTAGCTGAAAACCTTTTAAAAATTAAAATATGCACAAATTACAGACTTTAAAGTGATTTCTTTGTTTGCATCTGTGAAGACTTCAGTTCAGGGCAAGAGTATTGCTGACTTCACTGATGTTGCTGACCGCAAGTTCTCAGATATAATCATGCGATGGTATTGAAGTCTAATTCTGGAGTTCCATATTTAGTATTTTGATTTTGTCTGTTGTGTTCTAAGGATAGTGTTTTCAAGACTAACTTTGCAAATGAGGAATAGAAACTTAGGCACTGGATGTTTTCTCTTGCTTTTGAGATGCTTACATGAACTAAGTGTTTTAAGATAAATATTACAGGATTCAGAAATCATGAGAGGTGGTGTCAGTAGTATAGGTGATTCCGCTACTGGTGTTTGAATACAAAGAATGGCTCTCCCTGCATGATGGCTGCCGTCCAAGCCCTGCTGAAATCAATGGAAATTCTTTAATGGGCTTTGGATCAGATCCTGTTTGAAGTGTAAGTGATAGCCTCTACTGTTACAAGGAAATGAAGAATACTGCAACTGGATCTCAGTGGATAAAAACTGGCTTCTCAGCTCTTTGTATTAAAACTTTCCTCATAATGCCTATATGAATGCAAAATATATAGTGCAATTACCAATAAGCAAGACCTTCAAATTAATTCTGTGCTCTTTCAGAAGATCTGTTTTCTTTGCAGTGTCAAAAATGCATCTTAGTGTGTTTAGTTATGGAAAAAAGTTTATTCTTTGAAACAGGTTGTCTTTAATGTACTATTTCATAGAAATCTGAACAGTGGAAGAGAAGAATATCTTGGTACTTTGGGTTTTTTAAGTGTTTTTTGGTTTATATGTGTGTTCATTTTTTTTTTTTTACAGCAAAATAAAAGATAAAAACCAAACATGAAGCTTAGTAGTGCAGAACAACAGCAGCATCTTCATTGTGCCGAATGATGGTTTAGTGAGCATAAAAATAGTGTATTTTTCTGAGGTTAATGACAGGATTAGTGATTCAGTCTGGAAGAATAGGCCTGTGTGGATTTAGAGTCATTTGTGTAACAGATGTAGAGAAAACTTATCAAAAATCGTAGGGATGAAGGCAGATCATTCCTATGCTTTGATGGCTGGATTAAAAATTACTGAGAGCAGATATTAGAATTAACAAAGAGTTGCAATTTCTGCCCTTATTTGCATTTGTGAGATAATCAGGCATGTGAAAGGTGGCATCTTTCTGGGGTTTGTCAATTTATGTTGCAGGCATTTACATTGTGGAACAGATGTTATCTAGCCCACAGAAAAGAACAAGTAGGTCGGTGTGGAACCACCAAATGCTGATTTGCAGTGACTCTTCTCTTGGGGTCATAGGACCCTGTGGACTCAACTGTTTTACTGGAGTTGCTTATTAAATAACTAATTCTGTCTTTTGATCTTGGAAATAATATATGATGCTAGCCAAAATGAGAAACTGAGTGGACTAATTCTCCCCCCCCCAATATAAATCTTGATATGCTTTACAGCTATATGCCTGAAAGACCTTGCGTACTGAAGGGCAAATGCCAGGAAATAATGAGAAACTATGTAGGGAGAAGAAAGCTTGTACAGATTGCTGGACAAAACTAACCTTTTGGAAGACAGGCATGAAGTTTTGTGTCAATGTAAAACGTGGGTTTTTTAGCATCCAAGAAAACAGCACTTAAGAAATGTGATGAAACTACTAGTGGGCTTTTTTTCCTGAAAGAAGGACTCTTAATTGGCACTGTCACTTGCTGATTTAACTGATAAGAGTATTTCTTCTATAAATTAAAATATATAATTTCCTGAAATCTGCTCTGGAAATCTGAAACATGCTACATAGTGCAGAATTAGGAACTCTCTAAATACAGAGGATGAGTGTGTCCAGTGGTATGATTTGACTGTATAAGTAGAGCTTATACAGTTATGCAGCTTATAGGCTTATACAGCTTCATTCTACCCCCATCTTTGTGCATCTACCCTTTATTTTTAAGTGTAATAGTTCATTAATGGTGTTTTCAATGATTTTTACTGAAAAGGTGAGGTGATTTTTACTGAAAAGGTGAAAATAGCTATGCTGATGACTTTGAGCATTGAGCAGAAAAGATTAGTGCACCTGTACTTTCCCTAAAAACATGTATTCATCTCATATGTATTTACCATGAAAAGGATAAAACCTTTACCAGCTGGTGGGAGGGGTTTTTTGCCCTTATTGAAGGAGAGGAATTTTCATTTGGTTTAATATTCTGGAAACAACAAAGGCTTCTAGAGTGTTGTCATGCTCTTTTTCTGCTTTTGGTTTGCATGATCTTGAGCAAAGGAGCTTAAATGAAGCTCATGCGAAGTACCATAGAAACCATACTTTGTTAATTTACTGACTTCAAACCCACATAAAAATGATGCAGGAATCATGATAGGAATGCTGATTACATGGTTACATGGTTGTTGAAAAGTAAAGCCTAGTTCTCTACAGCACTTTTTTCTGAAGAGCTTAGCACTGGCAGAGGAGAGGTTGAAAGCCCCTGTGTGTGGGTTTGAGCTGTAATAGGTGAATATAATTTAGAGACTAATTAAACTTCCTTTCAAACACCTGAGATGGCAGTTTATATAGCTGTATAACCATGTTAATATAATGCAAGGAAATTATAAATAAAAAGAACCCAAATATGTCAAGGTCTTCCTCATGTTTTTGAGGTGGGGTACCAGCAGTCAAATAAGAATGTCAGTTAAGGTATGATTTTTGAGGTGTTTTTTTTTTTTTTTTTTTTCCTTTTGGAATACTTAGTTTACCCAGATAGTCTTGTTGGGGAGAAATTGATACTACATGTCCACAAATTTAACTTCTAGATTTTTGTGGTGATATAGTAATAATTTGCTCTGGGGTGAAAAGAAGTTTGATTATTTATAAGTATTTATATACTCTATACTATATTCAGTTTGAGTAATCCTGATTAGTATTTCTTGTGCCAGTCTTGCATAAGGCAGTAAATTCTGCTGGGTTGTGCAATAGCACAGACGGGCAGCTACTGCAGAGAAAGCATTCTTTGGGACACGAGGCATGAAGGGTATGCTGTTTGCTCTCGTGTAAAGCATTTTATGATCTTACTGAGAAAGACTTGTTGGCCATTTTAGGGAAATTACTTCTGGTTATATTATTTCAGCTGTGAAAAATTATGGTCTTCCTAATACAGAGATGGTGAATATTGGATTATGGGGAGCCATGCTTATAGTTCCAGAGGGTATGGATCTGCTGGCATCTTGAGGGGTGAAGCTGCTACCCCAGAAATTAAAATGTCTTTCTTGGCAGTTGTGTTGGAAAAAAGCAGTTGCTCTCTGTTTTGTGGTTAGCATCTCTATCAGTTTAGAGCCTAGGCCCTATAAAATTTGTGTTAAAACTTCCTGAATCCCAGGATCTGAAAAGCAAATTGCACAACTCTGTGAAGAGGCAAGGAAATGCATGGTATTTGGTCATCTGTATATGTATAGGTGACACTTGTTTCCTAGGACGTGGTAGCTTGCTGTCACTTGTACCTGTCTAGTTGTGTTACTAAATTGGGTCTCAGTTTTACCCTTCTATGTAGGCTTCCTTTTCAACTTTAGAAACTAAACAATGTATTGTTCCCCATTTCCCTCAAATAATCAGTATCACAGTGTTTAGTGTCAGTCATTGCATTTCTCCACACTTTTTGATGCTTATTCTTACACAGATGTATGTATGCAAGTGTTATACCAATGAGTTTTTGAGCTAGCTGAATTTTTTTGGTTGTAATTTGCCCCCTGGCTTTGTCCATGTTGAAGGCTTTTGTAAGCTGTAAGGCTCTTGCTTGTGTCTTCCTGTGTAGACTTCATAGAGAATGTCACAGAGTAAACAGCTGATGCCAAAGGCAAACTCTCTTTAGCATGTGCAACAGTGGATAAACAGTCTTCATCCCAGAGAATGTTCTAAAATGTTTATATATTTCTATACTGTTGCTGAAATGGGTTTCTATATGGCTATTTGTGGAGCATTGGCTTAGCTACTGGTTTTATTTTTTATTTTTTTTTTCTTTTTTCTTCTTTTGGTTCTCACTGTGTATTTCTAAAAATGTTTCAGTTTAGCAAAAACAGTAGGGAAGAGTACCTAATGTTCTTCAGAGCCATGTCTGGCCTTGGTAGAGTTGTTACATTTAACACCAACGCAACAGTCTTTTTTCGTCTCCTAAAAAGAATTAGATAGCAGAAAAAATCCTATTTGCTGGGATAATGATATCCAGAAACTAATAAGGATGGGTCAGCTTTTCATGCAAAATCAGTGTGGCAAGAATCAGATGGATTTTTGGGAGCTCCCTCTCTTGCACATACAGACCCTTATTTTCAAGTCTTTCTTTGTTTAATCTTACTGTGAACAGCTTTCTTTTTGTATTTAATCTTGTTTTGTATGGCTTTTTGTAATTCATGTAAGACAGACATGACATTCACTGTGGGTGAATACCAGCTAGGCTTCAATAACTATTTAATAATTGGCATCTCATTTATTTGGACACTTTTAATATTCAGTAGAAAGTTGAAAATGTTTCCCTTGTGGTTTAGTTTTCATGTTTCATTCCATTGTCGCCATCCCTTTCTTTATTTAGGGATTTCCCAGGCCACCTGTTTACCTGCTGAAGATCATGCAATTTCTCTGTGGCGGTGAAGGCAGATCATTGCATGGAGGAGCATTTAGGAATCCACTTAATGAATTTTTAACACTTTTTTTTTCAATGCAATTCATTGCTGGGGAAAAGGAAGCTCCAGCTGGCATATTGCTACCAGGCATTTCTTTGTGGTTCATTAGAAAGAATTTGTGAGCCATCAGTTCAGTAACCTCTCCTACAGAAGTTTATTGGAACACTACATGAGCACATTGAAATCAATGGGTAGCATGTCATTTGCATGATTAACAATTTTGTGTGTGTTTTTTCTCGTTAGGGTGGATGACATTCCTCCAGGAATATCACTGCTTCCGGATAACATTCTTCAGGTCCTCAGGCTTCAGCTGCTACAGTGTGTCCAGAAAATGTCAGATGGACTAGAAGAGCAGCAGCAGGCTCTGTCACTTTTACTTGTGAAATTCTTTATCATCCTTTGCAGGTATTTGTTCTGACTGCTACCTCAGCAAGGCTATTGATTTGTTTAAGAAATCTTGATGCAGCCTATAAATACAGATTCTAATGATGCATAGAATGTGATTTGACACTTTTCAGTAGAAACAGAGCAATGCCACTTCTCACAATCTTCAAAATAATGGAAGAGGGAATAAGAGAGAGAGGGGAGCAATGCAGTCATCTTAGCAATAATGTTTGCCATGAGAAATGGAATAGAAGAGGATTAGACACTAAATTCCTTTTAATTACATAAGATATATCTATGGGAATTCAAGATACGGTGTACCTGGTATAAGAAATACTTTAAAAAGAAAAGGCACGCTCTAACAAGTGTTGAGTATGAAATAACTGAAGAGGGAATTGTGCAGGAAGAACTGTTTCATGTTCTTAACATGCTTATAATTCCATAAACAGCTTAGGAAACTGACTTATTACACTATTAATGCAACAGGCTTCCTTATGAAACTTATGTCTTATTTTGTCCTTATTTTGTAATTCTGTTGAAGTAGGTCAATAAACTGCTTTTAGGGATCTATTCCTCACTATTACTTCAGTCTTCTGTTGTAAACTGCATTAAGAGAGGAAGGAAAAAAATATAATAGGGACTCTCCTTTTCTGAGGAGTATTTGAAGAGCTTTTTTTGAATTCTTTGGTGGTTCTTACCCCTGAAACAATAAAAAGGGCTGTAGGGCAGTGTTTAAAGTATCCTGGAATATTAAATATAAGCTGAGTAGATGGTGGTAATGTGTTTCTGAATTACAAACTGTTGTCAGTCTTATTTAATTGCTGAAAAATTCTCCTTATGTCATCATTTCAGTATCTGATCTTTGTGACTTGTCCTTTAGACTGAAAAATAACATGTGCATGCTATATCTTTGTTGCTGTTGATTTATTTATGTTCTAAAATAATTATTAGATGTTTGTTTTCCTTGGGAGAATTTAAAGTGAATAAATGCTTCTAGATAATATGTTTGCTAAAGTTTTGGAAAGTGTATGCACTAGTAATGTGGGAGAAGTGGAAGTTACTGTCTTTGTTATCAGATGCCATTTCTGACCTTTCATTTAGAGTGTCCTGGGAATCTGCTTAACCTCTGAAACCCCAAATTCCAGATAGAATTGGCCTACAGCAGAGTGACTGGGACCTTCTTTTCCTTCCTGTTAGAAGAAAACTTGTGAGCTCTGTTACTGTGACAGAAATAAACATTTGAGTATATGCAGTCTTTTGGAGTATTTTTGAAGTGCTGATACACTTTTGTATGATTATAGACAGAATGAATGCTAAACAAACATCGTTTGAACTAGCTTCCAATGGTACACTGTGTACATTTCTGTGGTTTTTATGTTGTCTTCATAGAAATTTGGCTAATGTGGAGGAGATTGGGATGTGTTCATACATTAACCATGTTATCACCATGACTACGTTATACATTCAACAGGTATGTGGTTAAAAATTCTCATCTGTTATTTTTGCCATCCGATACCTCCTGCTCCTGCTTATGTGATCTGCTTTTTCAATAATAGTGTTGCGTGGGGACCAATTTGTGGGCTCAGAACTGTTCTGGAGGAGATCAAGATTGATTTTCAACTTCTAGAAATCTTCTGACCACAGCTTTCTTTTTTTCCTCAGTTAAAAACCAAAACAAAAGAAAAAGAAGTGGCAGATCAGACCCCCATGGAAGAATTTGTGAGACATGCATTGGCTTTTTGTGAAAGTCTCTACGATCCATATCGAAACTGGAGGCAGCGAATTGCAGGGTATGTGTGGACTAGGACAGGATTATAAATACTGTGGTTTATGATAACTTTAGATGAACAATATGTAATGTTTGACAGAACTACTGCTGTGTGATGTCAAACTAAAATAAAAAGTAGTTACATGTATATTCTTCAGCTGTTGCATTTTACAGCTGTTAGAATTGATAGCCTTGAGTACTTGATACTGTGTTTTTTTTCCCCTGAAGATACACTCTTTAGAATAGCATTAATGAAATAGTTTTTCTCCAAATTTAACATAATGAAGCAGACATGCTTGAAACTGAACTTTGTTGCCACCAAAGTTGTCAGAGTACTAATATATCCTGTTCCATTTAGTGGAAAGCTGAGCTGTGAGGCTTTTTGAAAGGTGGGAAGTGTAGAGAGCCAGGAAATAGGCTTTCTGAGATGCTTAATTTCTGTCATTCTAGGCACAGGCCCTGTTCTTTGAAACTGCTAGTGATTCACTTTATCTGCTATATCTGACTTTTCAGAGACCTCTTATAAATTTCTGTGAGATCTTTTTAATGTACAATTCTCCCTTATGAGCCCCAGATTATTTACGGTAATGTTGAATGTACATAGTCTTGTATAGTTAATGTGTTTTTCTGCTGTGTGTACAAGGGCTGAAGTTGTTTGCTCCTTGCTGCCATCCTTCAGAGCTGCTTTTCCTTTAGGTCCTCAGTTTTATTTCCATCATTTATTTTGACATGCATCAAATATTGGACCTGTGCATGTAAATAACTAAAGGCATAGAGGGATTGTATCTCATGTTACCTAGTCTTGTAAAACCTCAGGTCCATTCTCACAGCATGCATTCTGTAGAGCTAGCACAGCATTTGTGCTAGCTCTGTGACTTGGATTTGTGTAGCAAGTCACTCGTCTGACTCCATGCAAACAGTGGGGATCATGTGAGCGGTGTGCCTTGGCTGCTGGGGTTTCTTTGTAGCTTGAAACCTGCAGTATGCCATAATATTGCATGGACTGCAGGTTTCCTGAGGCTTTTGTGGAAACAAAAGGTAGTATTCTCAATAATAGCTTGAATCATTGTGCACAAAGTTTTAAGGAGCATGTAAGGATCACAACTTGTGGTATTTTTGTGCAACATGAGAATTCCCCTTTTCTAGGACAGAGCGTGAATTGACACCAGTTCTCACATATGGCCTGCCAGTGTACTGCTAAGGTATTTTCAGATTTAGTGTAGGTAATGCCAGCACATCTCATGGGATCTTAGGCAGATTATAAGTATTCAAAATCAGTGAATTTACAAGCAATGAAGGTGGAGAATTTGGCAAGGAATCAATATAATCACACCACAGAAAAATGTTATGCTTTCTGAAATGGGGTATGATTGAAATACCTTTTTAAAATTATAATACATTTACTGGCAGTCTAGAAGTTAAAACGGAATTAAATTTGAGGATATACTAAGTGGTGTTTTGTTGCAACTGACCAGCATGAAGGTCCTTTCGTTGCTGTCTCCTTTCAAAAACTGGCTGATTTTTCTAAAATGGTGGAACAAGGAACAAAAAGAATGGGGTAGGCAGACCTGGTGGAATTAGGGCAAAAGAATTTATTGAAGATAACAGTATAGATATGTTGCATCTTTGAAAAGATGTTTGTAAGTGTAACAGTAGAATTATTTCCCTTTAATTTGATGGTGTCCCACCCCCCATAATGAACCCATAATAATGTTCTGTCCCATTTCAAATTGCATGGTTAAGAAATTCGGTAGTCTAGCTGGTGGCTTAGTTACAGTACACAAGGACTAAATAACATATTGCTGGCATTTTAAAATTTATTCTTTAACTAAACCATATTGTAAAATGATAAGGTATTTTTAGGAGCAGAACAGTAAATATGGGATTAGCTGTGACTCTTTGCAGCTGATTTCAGGATGAAATACTACTTCAGTATTTTTTTTGATCCTGTAGGCAAAAGATAACTCCTGATTTTTGGCAGTTTTCTATTATGAAGCCATAAACAAAGGTATCCTATCTAATTTCTTTGGTGTATCTTTTTTAATGTAATTGCAGACGTTTCCTTAGTACAGTTGAAAAGAGCAGACAGAAGTATAAACCAGCTTCCCTCACTGTTGAGTTTGTCCCTTTCTTTTACCGTAAGTATTATCAACAGCATGTTTAAAAATACTCATCTTTGGAGGAGTGAACTTAGTGATTCCAAGGTCCTTTTCCCCTAAGAATGCCTGATAAATGTAAAGGCCCCTTACTTGCTTTCTGAGGCTGAATGAAGTGGGTTGCTTTGTTTGCTTGTTTTTTTGCTCCGAGCATCACCATCTTACCATTCTTACTCATCTTTGAAAGCCTGTTTTTTTTCAGACTTTTTTCAGTGCCTAACGTGGTTTAATAGGATTGATTCTGCGAATTGCCAACCTTCCCGTTTATCATGGTACATACAGTGATTGCATGTAAGATCCCTGTAATAACTGTAATGATAACTCGCATGGAAAAATAATCTTAGGAAAGTGTTCATGCATTTTTGTCTCTGAATATGATTTAACGTATAGGAAGAAGGAAACTGTGCCATCCAACTAGCAAATGCTCCTTGGACTGCAGTTTGGGAAACTGCTCTGTTTTGTCTCTGTTTAAGTCATTAAATATCATGATGGCTACTTTGGAATTCATGTGTTCTTACCATCACAGATTGGCTGTGTGGAAAAGAAGGATTTATGGGGCCATGTTCTGTACTTAAATCTTGGGAAGGTGGGGTGCCCAAATAGTTTGCCAGTTTAGCACACCAAAGTGCTAGTGCCAACAGAATTGAAGCAGCAGGAATATGCTGGAGGGATGAGGGTGTGAGTGAAATCAGCCCTTTTTGCAGCTCTTAACTCAGCTTTAATTGAAAATAAAAAAGGAGGGTTCTATTCTGAGACTGGTAGCATTTATGAATTTGGTTTCTCTAGGTTTCAGTCACATACTTCTCCGTTCCTTGAGATTTCCTCTCTGTGTGCATAAAATAGGCTAGTTGCCAAAAAGACCCAAGAGCTGATGCCAGTAAAATGCCATTATCTTTGTGCCAGGGCACTGGCAACCCTCTCTAAAGGCTGCTACTGAGGAGTGTCATCTGCTGGTTCTCTCCTCCCCATTCAGTGCATTGCACTCTGGTTCCTCCTAAATCCCTTAAATATTATATATTGTGAGGGAGTGACAAGTATACTAATTAGCTGGCAGATACTCATCTGCTGCTTGGCTAACTGGCAGGGAAGACAGAACAAGAAATTGTTGAGCATGTGCTTTAGATGTTAGGCCATGGCAGCACTAATTTGAGGCTTTTTTGGTCTACCCAGTCTAATGATTTATTCACAATCTGCTAGGTACTGTTTTTTTGAATTTGTCTGAGGTTTCCCTGAGAGATTCAGAGTCTATAAGTCAAGGGAATGGTGGGACTAGCAGACTAACAGTGCTATCATCTAAGCTTTGTTTCCTTTGAGGACCAGATTTAAAAAATAGCTGTGCAATTTTCTTTTTAAAACAGGCTTATACATTCAGTATAAAGTCAGAAATCTTACTTGCCAGTAAATGCTAATTGTCTTAAAGGTTATATTATTATTATTTTAATGAAGATAAAATTCTTGCATTTTCAGTTTCTATTGTGTGTTTAAAATCTCAGTTTTTACAAACCCAAGTCATCATCAGTTCTATCCCATAAAGTTATTGGAATTTTTATGATGGTTAATTCCAGATAAAATAATCCTTTGTAGTTTGTTGCAGCTACTTCGAGTCTAGTGTTATTGCTATAACAACAATGTCCAGGTTGTATATATTGCTAAGAAGAGTTACTGAGGCTGTTTGTGACTAATTTATATCAGATATGGCATGAAAAGAGATGTAGGATAATTGTCTTTAAAGAGACTACTGCTAGAAAGGTTAGACCTGCACAGGCTTCCCTGGCAAGTTTGGCTTAAAGGGAGCAAGCTCAGGGACTGTTTTTCTGAGCCACCTGCACCGCATATGGCATTAGATTTTCTGTGCCAAAATTGCTCTAACCTTTGTCATGCTTACTAACTGCTCGAGTGTTAGCAAGTCCTTCTCATTAGTATGGACAAAATGCACTCATTTTACATTATGGATCAGATCAACAGTTGTTGTATGCCTATAGTTCTGTGAGCCTGCATGAAAAGTATTATGCAAGCTGAAGGTCTGGCCCTGTGTATTCCTGATAAAATGTGGTCTTGTCATGTTACTTTGATAATGCCAGAATTGATGTATTTGTGTCTGATATATGTGAAAGTGGAGATTATATAGTTGAAAATTTTTTAAAATTTTCATGACGCCAGGGAGTAGAAGGGCTTTTTTTTATTATTTCACTTGTTGGTGGGTTTTTTGAGAGGAAAAACTTTTTATAATTTATATGACTGAAGTAAGGAATCCTTCTCCTTTTTATTTACTCCAATCAGAATGCTTTCAAGAAAGTGAACATCTCAAGGAAAGCCTAAAATGTTGCCTGCTACATCTCTTTGGAGCTATTGTGGCTGGTGGTCAGGTAAGGATATTCTAAACTCTTCAGCTGCTGAAGTCTTCAAACACCTGTTCATTGTTTAAGGCTTATAAATACCCCATAACCCATAAATGAGAAGAATTTAATGTTGTCTATGAATTGTTTGTTTGTCTTATGAAGTTTGGGGTCATTCTCTGCAATAGTATCTCAATGCTAAAAGCTAGGCCCTGCTGTCAAATAACAGTAGAATATTTACTGTCTACAATAACTACACATTCATATGAACTTATTGTAATATTTTCATATCGTAAAGAAAAAATACGGGTAACTAGATTAGGAGTTTCCACCTGCAAAGGGGTAAGTTTTGTATCAGCACATGAAATTCATCTAGCTTGCTTGCTGGTGCTGAAAGTAAGCTGTTTCAGTAAGAGGCACAGGGCCTTTATAGCCTGGGAGCTCTTTAAAGTCTTCGAAAGAATGTGAAGAAAAGAGGATGTTCATCATCAGCAAAGCCAACACCCACTCTCTTGGCTGACTTCTGTAATGTGCTACTTAGTCTGGTCACAAGCAAATGTTATTTCTGATGATCCAGAAGACAGTGTTTTTAAATGTTGTCATGGAGCAGTAAAGCCAGGCACTGCTCCACCAGGGAAGGCAAGCTGAGACTGAGCATGGTGAGCAGGGCAGGCAGAGGCAGTTGACCTCACTGGTAAAAGGTGAAGCCTCACTGTACCTGAACAAGGTGAACAGAGCAGCTCTGGTGGTAGTAACCAGGATTAACCAGCCCAGATCACTAGACAAGTCTGTAGTGATGAAGCCTGAGATCAAGCCAAGAAGTCTGGTCAGCACATCAGGGTTGGGGTTTGGTCTAGTGATGGGAGCTAGGGTCAATCAAGAGTCCAGTGGTTGCCAGGCCCATCCATAGTGATGAGGCAGGTCTAAGGTCAAGCTAGGCAGTCAAGTTTGTGGGTCAGGTTCAAGACAGTCCCTGGCCAGGCACGGGCATGGCTGCAGTTGTAGCTCAGGGAGGTAAAAGGTTGAGAGCCGCAGACTGAATGCAGCTCCCTAGAGAATGCAGGGAGTCCCTTACAAGGCTTCTCAAAGCTCTCTACAAGGCTGGGCACCTGCCCCAGATTTAAGGTGGCCCTGAGCCTATGCAGTCAGACCCCCAGAAAGAGAGGTAAGGGAAGTGCATTCAGGGCCAAGACAAATGTTTGCTAATTATTATGTTCTTTTCAAAAATTTTAAAGTATCATGAATCTCATGATATAAAATAAAAGTTCAAGTGAAGGTTTACCTAGAATTAGCAGTTTATCAAGGCTACCTTATAAGAATCTTAAAACATGCATTTAAACTATATTTCCTTTTCACTATAAGCATTCTCTTTGAAAAAGAAAGTCTAGTTAAGTGAACAGCATGGGATGCATTTCAGAATGTTTCATGTTTTTCTAACAATTACAGGGCATTAAGAGACATAATAATGCATGTTGCCTGATTCAGATAACTCAGAAACTGCTTGTTTGAAGAGGTTTGATTTTATTTATGTATTTATTATTTTCTCCTTAATCACTTTTTCCCCCATGGGTTTCAGAGGAATGCTCTTCTAGCAGTATCTCCTGCCACCATGGAAGTCTTGATGCATGTTTTAGCAGACTGTGACAACTGGGATGACAGGAACCCTGAGGAAGTGAGCAGGAAGGCAGAGCTGACTCTGAAGTGCCTGACAGAAGTTGTCCATATCCTTCTAACCAGCAGTTCTGACCAGCGGCAAGTGGAGACGAGTACAATATTGGAGAACTATTTCAAGTTGCTTAATTCAGACCATTCAGCTTTACCTAATCCAAGGCGATGCAGACAGTGGGAGAGCAGGTTCATAGCACTACAGATCCAAATGCTGAGTGAGTACCCAATTGTGCAGTTCCTTTAAATATGTCTTGATAATAGTGAAGCAAGTAATGATTGAACCATGATAGTAATACAACTGAATATTCTACCAAAAAATGTTCACTTGGCTAAGCAATTGAAAAATTTCAAACATTTCATTGACATCACTTTAGATGTATTCTTGTTTAATCGTTCACTACAAAAAAAACCCAGAAGAAACCATATTGAATTGCTACCATTTAACCTGAGCATCAAGGTTCATGGTCTGCAGGTCTCCATTAAAAAAAAACCAACAAACAACAAAAACACCAAACACTTTTGTTGGGCAACAGCTGACACTCATCAGCACCTTAATAATTGCAGAACAAGATGGGTCTGTAATGAAATACCCATGTGGTGGCTGTTTTGTGATAGTTCACTTTCCAAACGGCATTATTGTAAACATTGGCCTAAAGTGATGGTCTGAAACAGTTGGGTTTAAGTCATTGGATAAGAACTGAGGATTTGGAGGTTTTTCCACTTTGATGTTCAGAACGGGAAATACAAATAAAGGTATTTCTTTTCCCACACTTCTAAAAAAGCTAAGGCATGGTACTGAGATGATGAAGAATGCTTACAGTATAAGGCTGCTGTAGAATGCAGAGTAATTGCTTGATGAGGAAGCAAGTGTTTGTGTGCTTTAAATAAAAGGTGTGCTGCTTATGTATGCACAAATGGTGATGACTTTAAACAGAGCCCCAAAGCAATCAAAGATATTCAGTAGCTGAATCTCTCTCCAGATATAGTAGGTTATGTGATAATTTTTACAACATTGAAATGTTTAGCTTTAGGCCTCGTGCTCTGTGTTTAAAATGCACATCATTCTTGATCAAAGAATTCACAGCATATAGTTTGTTGTATCACTTTTTTCCCCATGTTTATTATGTAATGTGCAGAAAAAATGCTTGATGGATTTGGGAAGTGTTTTGTCTTTGATGCCAGTTCTGTTTTGATTTTATAGATACCATCACAGCCATGTTAGACTGCACAGATAGGCCTGTTCTGCAGGCAATTTTCCTTAACAGTAACTGCTTTGAGCATCTCATTCGACTGTTGCAGAACTGCAAGGTAAACTTTCTCTTATCAGGATGTTTTTAACAAAACCTGTCTTGTAATATTGCAGGTATATTAATTTCCTTTATATCCTCCTTCTGAATTACATGTGATTTTTATAGTGTCTACATACTGGAAGTAAAACTTCGGATCGGTTAGAGCCACTAATGCCATGAAAGATCTGAAAGATCCAAGTTACTCCAAAAGCTTTCTTTATTCCTAATGAAGTAGAGGTATTTCTTGTCTGTCTTGTAGCAATAAGCAATTAATGCTTATTTTAAGTCCTGAGCAAAATACCTTTACAGATCCCCCTCAGTCTCTTAAATCTGTTAAGGTTGTTACTGGAATGAATCCCTGCCCCTTCCTTTCTGGTTGGGGGGTGGTGGTGATGGTGATGTTTGTTTGTTTTTTTATGTTCTGTCACTGGATTGCTCGGAAGTCACTTACAACTGCTGCCAGATGGAGGTTTGAATTCTTATTTCAGAGGCATGTTGTTCCATATAAAAAAACCTTGCTGGTATGCCTTTTTAAGTGTTTCAAAATATTTGAATCTTGTGTAGCTGATGTAAAACATGAGCTCAAGCTGTTACCAAAGTTCTTCAATTGTTCTTTTCCTTCTACATAGGATTTAGTATTTACATAGGTTTTGTGTGTTCATCTCAATCCTAGATGGTCATAATTTGCAAGCTAGTGGCTTTCTCTGATTGCTTTGTAGATTTCATTTTTCCCTGTGCAAAAGAACATAGATATGATGTAACTCTGTGGAATATTTTATTTCTCTTTTTGTGATGTGTTGGTGGCATAGCTATTTTGAGCTCTTCTAATGCTGGCTAATTTAATACTAGCTACAGTATACAATTTGATTCAAATCCATTTAGATTTTGAATTGGAACATATTTCAGTGCAGTGATATATTAAAAATAAGTGTTTGGATTATGTCCTAACTGTAGTTTTAATCAGTGGCAGAATGCCAACTGACTTGAAGTGTCTTGAACAGTGTTTTTAGTTTATCTCCTCCTGAAAATATGGGGTTTGACCTTTCTGTTCTCCTCCTCTGTTTGGGAATCTGTGCATATTTTTGTACTGACCTTGTATTCTGTAAGAAATTTCTTTTTTAGTTTCTTCTTAAATCATCAAGTAGTGTGATGTTTACCTGTTCATGGAGACTCTAGCTGTGTTCCTGCTCTCATATAAACAAGGGGTGGAATCTGAGAAAGCACGAACAGCTACTCTATTTTTGCAGCTTGCTCCTTTTAATTTTTATTCTGCCTGTATGTATGTCATAAGATACACTCTTTTGAGGGTTTTTTCTTGTGATGCAGTCTCACATATTACTGTGATTGATTGGATATCAGTGCTGCCAGTTTGCTACATAGTGGGTTTTTTTAACGTTTCACAGTCAGAATACTCCTAAGGATGAGAAGCAGGGAGAGGGGGTGGAAGATGTGAAGGTGCTGTATGTTTGTATTTTCCAATATACTGCATCTCCATTCTTTTTCAAAGCCAAATAGCAAAGGTGAATTTAGCTGTGGATTTAGGATTTCTCCTTATTAGCTGGGGGTGGAGACGCTATTTCTAGATCTTTTTTCTTTACCTATGAAAATCTTGCTACTGGATTCACCAGCAAGCTGTGTAAAGTGCATTCTGCAACTTTGCAGATAGCGGGAGAGTCCATACAGATATCTGAAACTCAGGAAGCTATTGGATCTTCAGAAAATTTGAAGTGCAGGAAACTTCCATGGAAAGGAGGGGTAAATAAAATCCATACCACTATAGCTATCCCAGATAACTCAGGATATTCAAGGCCATACTTCTAGACATACTTCCTAGTCATTTGCAGTTCAATAATCTTCTAAAATTTAAATCTTTTTTTCATATTTGCTGGTTTTAGGGCTTATGGGCAAACTGTCTTCCCTTAACTATGCTCTGGGGTTAGAGATCTGCACAAAAGCTTTTCAAAACTGCTTGGTTAAGTTTTGATGATCTGAATGTTGCTTTTTGCCTGTGACATCTGAAAAGAGGGACTGTACTTTAGAGGTATCAGGAGGTGCTTATTCTATACTGAGAGTCATTTAACAAGCTGCTTTGTCGGTGCTGAATCTTTTCTCATCTATTAAACTCTCTTAGACATCAGACTTTGAACAAAGCACAAAGACCTCTAGCGGTATGCCTGGTTAAAAAAAATTATTTTCTGAACAGCTTTTAAATAAAAGAATTAAAACTTAAAACCATATGGGCATTGTAATAAAAATCTGTTATTCCATTTTACATGTATTATGAGAATTGAAGTAACCTATATGAAAAATTTGTTTGTTTTTTTTTTTGCATGTCTGCATTTGTTTGTTTAATGTTCTTATTTCCACTTGTTAATGTTAAAACCTTCTGAGGCATATTATAGTTACTGTGCTGCTCTTGACTGTGATGTACCTTTCAAAATGACCTGTGTTTCTAACTATGTGCTTTCACACCTATGTAAGTCAAAGTAATATCTTGAGTGTTGTCCTTCTGTTTGCCTGAATTTATGGAAGTTGATTTCTCAGGTTGTTCCTCTTCAGAGAGACTACATAGCAGAAAAGACAAATGCTTAATTTTTACCCACTAAAGGAAAGTGTTGTTCCTTCTCTCTCTCTCTCTTTTTTTTTTTTTTTTGAAGGGACTTTTAAAACATTTTGGTCAGGGATTTTTTTTAACACCTCAGTAGAATCTAAAAACAGAGGGTGATAAATTTTAGTCCTGATTAGGTTGCAGCTAAGCTTTGTACACAAAGTGACTGCAATCGACTAAGAATTTGGGTGAGCTTTAAACTTGCAAATTCAGGAACCGACTAGGAATCTAGCTACTATACATAGAGCAGTTTCTTAGCTGAAGATGCAGTATAGGTGTATGTTTGATTTAAAGCTATTTACAACCTGTCTGATTCTTAGGCGATGGCAGAGATATTTTACCCTTCTTCCTGTCCTAAAGACTATGTGCCCCAGAAATTCTGCTGCTGTTGCTGTTTGAAGATTAAAATTTTCTGTCTAGATATCTTCAGCCTTCACCTAGGATGAAACATAAGTGGAAAATGGTGAAACATCTGTATCATCCATTTCTTTGCTGTTGTCCCACTGTTGTCTTTATTTTTTACAAGTACGTTTTTGGGAACCTCCTGTCATGTTGCATATTGGAAATGAAATCACAGTTGCTAAGCCAGTGACCAGTTTAAATTCCAGATAGATCTGTTTCCTTGTCTCAGCAATTATATATTTTCATTTAATTCTTGGGGGTGGGTAGATAAAAAGTGATTACTATTTAGCAAAAATACAATGTAATCTTCAGTATCATAAGAATTAACACAGGACTAATATTAATGGAGGATTGTGTCTCACTGGTGTGAGAACTCTTTTTTTTTTTTTCCCCTTTTTTTTTTTTCTTTGTATGTGAAATCCAAGGCAGCCTCCACAGGTTTGGCTGCAGGTAACTGTTTAATGCAATTATTTCCATTATTCTTGTCTCTGTTTCTAACAGCTGTTTTTAAATGCTAACAATAAAGTGGCAGACAAGAGTGAGAAAGACCTTGCCAACAAATTACTGACAGAAATGAATGAGGACCAGGTACCTACCTAACCTGTATTTTGCTTCAGTTGAAGTCAAGACACAATCACAGGAAAAATGATTCCTGTGCTTCACCTTAACCATCCTCTTTAAGCCTCCTGCAGCAAGATGATGTGTTGCTGCACACATCAGTATTTCCTGTCTCTGGAAAATAATTTTTCTGAATAACAGATTGATTTCAACCTCAGTTTTATTAATCTGCTTCAAATTGCAGATATTTGCAATAGATTGAGCCTCAGTTATGCTTCTTTTAAGGAAAAGGTGAAGTACATGAATGGAATCCAAATAAATTCTATCAACCTGGTGGTGATTTCCCCCCCCGCCCTGCTTCCCTCTCTTTTTGCTTCTTTGTCTCAGCACCGTGGTGTTTTGGATTCTGGGGCCTTGTTTGTGAATCTCAATGGTTGTATTTGATGTCCTGATTCTTTGCTTGTCATCAAGAACAGATGTTCACAAAAAAAATGGACAGGCTGAATCAGGGAGGTAGGAATAGCCTGTTGCTTTAATTTTCCAAAAATATTGTGGAAAGTTTCAGATGCAAATTGTTGTTATATTAATTTTATAGTAGAATGATTTGTTCTGATTAAAAATGTAAAGCAATGCTAAATACAAGTATGGTAATCTACAAATTGTGATTCTAACTAATAGCTTTGGCTTTTTTAGAAACTCAGTGTGACACTCTAACCGCATGTGAATGTTTCTTCACATCTAACATCATCTTCTGATTCTTGACGTTTCACTTTCAAAATACGTCCGATATGCATATAATATTTCAGAAATGACAAAACAGAGTATGTTTGTTTGCACAGTTTTGCTAATTATGTTTACTGATGGATATGAAATAGTGCTCTAATGCTTATGTCCTTAAAACCACTATAGAAATATGAATATAAACAAGAATTATAGGGGGAAAAAAAAAACCAACTCAAAAGGCGACTTAAATTGAAAAAAGAGATGTTGATCAGTGCAATGAGGCTATGGGTGAGGTGGCCACCTTACTGTGCTGGTGTGACTTCTCTCTTACAATTTATTTGTGTGTGTGTGTTGTAGGGACTTGGATGGAAAAGAAAACATTTTATATGAACTGCAAGTGCTTGATTGTCCAGCAGCACACACACATATACTGCAAGAGGTTTCCTAATTTGTTTTCCTCCCTCCCTCTTGAGGTTGTCCATTAGACGCATGAGGAAAACCTGTTTGTCCATCAGAATATTTGAAGTGTAATGTGTGTTGTGAATGCTTCTCTTCTCTTGAAGTATGTGGCTAGTTGTCTACTGTTATATAATTCCTTGTAGGCCATGGGATTATGAAATCTTGACTGGTGGGGAGATGATTTTTGATGCGCGTTAGCAAACTCTTGGTTTACCTCCTGGCAGGAGGGCACAGTATAGATTTTGGAGCTGAACTGTCCTTGCACATTTGTATATAACTTGTGTACCTGCTACTTTTCAGGTGTTTCAGGGACACCTAGACTGCTTGGCAGTATCAACCATTCAAGCCCTCACAGCAGTAATGCACAAGTCTCCAGCTGCTAAGGTAACAGTATATATGCAGAGGTCTGTTTGTAGTAGGCTTCTTGATCTTGTTTCCAGTTAGTGTTTTTTATCACAGTACCTTGACAAATCTTGCTAATGAAGATGAGCAGATTGTAGTCATGCTTTTCTGCCAGATAGGAGTAACTGATTAGCATCCCTTTATACTTGTCTAATGGCTGGACACCGAGCCATCTTTCTATTAATTGGAAGATCAGAGTGTTAATGGCAGTTGGAACCTTTGTAAAGGAAGTACATTGTTACTTGTCCCATGAATATGTGGGGTGGCATTAATGGATATGTGCAGGAATTTTCAGGCAGGAGTTTGTCTTGTAGTTTTATCATGGCTTTAAACTAACCCAGGACGGTATTGCTGTCCAAATGGTGGTCTTGCTGTTCCCCTGCCCTTCCTTTGTAGTTATTCTTGTGGTTTGATAAATGGATAGGTTGTGGTTAGTTTGTGAACCTGACTGGAAGCTAAGCTCGCAGAAAAACAGTGTATTTATTCTTAGATTGCTGAGTTCATTAGATTCACCCCATGGTTGAATGATTCTGTAGTCTTGGCACAGGGAATGGGATGTGGCTGCACAGTGGAGGCTAAAGGAAGAGTGGGAGTCATCTGATTTGGTTGCTACTTGCAGTACAGTCTGAGTGAGAAATGGCAGGGTCAGTTATGCTGCTCCAGAGCATTACTCAGAGTACTTATTTCTCCACTGACTCTGGAAAGCCTGGGAAGAGTTGTATGTTGGAGGTGAGGATTGGCTGTGATTCACAAAGCATCAGTAAAGTTTTCAATTGTACTTCCACTGCAACATACATATTTTTTCTTTCCCTATTTACCTAAGCAATCATTTCACTTCTGCTGACAGATTCATCCTTTAAAAAAAAAAAAAAAAAAAAAAGTAAGTCTTCATTTCAGTGCAGAATACAGCTGGGAGAAGAGTATCCATCTGTATGATGTGTTGGCTGTTTACTAACTAAACCACAAATGGATGCTACAGTTTGGATTTTGTTGCTTGATTACTTTTTTTCCTTCATGTAAAATCAATTAGTTTTTTTGAAAAACTTCCTTGGAACACTCTTCTAATTTTTGAAGTGTTTAGGATGGGTGGTTTTTAATCAAGCTGGTGTAGGAAAATCTTTCATTCAAAAATTAATATCTGAATACCTTTAATTCTGAATGTAATAATTTCATGCTATAGTTTGCATTAAAAAATGAAGCTATTAGTATTTTGTGATAGGATTAACATTTTGATTGTACCAAAGCAATTACCTTCTATAGGTAATTATTAAAGTACAACTTTGATCTTTTATTTGTTTATCTGCATGCTGCAGTGAGATCCCTCTCATCTGCAGCATGCTAGAGATAGCACAATGGACATTATCAAAAAGAGATGTCTAGCCTGTAAAACATTATTCTTGCATTCTAATTATTTTGTGTCTCATATTGTGTTAAATTAGAACTTGCTGCAGTAGATGAGCTATTTTTGTCCATTTTATTTGTTAGTGAGACTGCTATTTTTATCCTCAGGAAGTCTTCAAGGAGAGAATTGGTTATGCACACATATATGAGGTACTAAAATCGCTGGGTCAACCCTCACGGGAATTGCTGGAAGAACTCATGAATATGGTGAGATGTGCTTGCTTTGAATGCTAGAATGCTTACATCTTTTCAACAGTACTTCTAGCCCTATTTTATTGTATTTCACGTCTGAGTTCTCTGCTGTTTTTCAGGCTGTTGAAGGTGACCACATGGCTGTTGGGATACTAGGCATTAGTAATGTCCAGCCCTTACTGCTGCTTATCCAGTGGCTTCCAGAACTAGAATCACACGACCTGCAGATTTTCATCTCAAATTGGTTGAGGCGAATCTGTTGTATTAACAGACAGAGTCGTGCCACTTGTGTCAATGCGAACATGGTTATCCGTATCATTGAGACATTAAATTCCCATTCCGCGCTCCATTGTACTTGTGCAGAGAACCTGATTGCCCTTCTGGGCTCTTTGGGGAGCCAGTCAATGGGCTCAGAAGAACTGCTTCAACTAATACGGCTCCTGAGGACTGACGAACCAAAACGAGCTCACCCTTACGTTGTTCCAGTGATGCGAGCCATTCTAGCAATGGCCCGGAAGCAGGGCATGGCTAGTGCCTTGCAGTATTTCAACTTGTACCACAGCATGGCCGGAATTGCTGTTCCATCAATTCATAAGTGGCCAGGTTCTGCATTTTCTTTCAACGCTTGGCTCTGCCTTGACCAGGACCGGGTGGACCCTAGCACGACTAGCAAAAGTGGCAAGAGGAAGCAACTCTATAGGTACAGTTACTATAACTACTTCCAACAGCACAAATCTAGGTCATCTATTCCCTGCGGCATATGGTACCCTATGACATATGGTACTCTGCTTATCTTCATAGGATGCAATATTTAGTGCTTAGTTTGTGAAAGGGAGCAATTTCATCTGTCACCAGAGCCAGGCTGTGTTACAGAAATAAGCATGTAGTTTCTCAGTTATAATGCTTTCCTGTCTACAGTTTCAATATCCATAACTCCAAATTGTGTTAAGGTTCATAGCTTAAACAAACAAAGCAACTTAAAAAAAACACCCCAACCCCCCCAAAACCCCATCCCCAAATTGAACAGGCTTCCCACTGTTTTCTGTAAAGGTAATGAAATCTGTTTTCTATATGAGAGCACAATGAAAAGGACACCTTCATTTGCTTAAATACTAGACATTGATGTGGATGGTTCTTGGTACACTAACATTCAGCAGCAAACATGCAGAATGGGGGAATAGTAGTTAAAGCATCTCTCACTCCCTTCAGTCCATTTTACTGCACTGCAGTTTCAGGGGAAATGTTGAAGAATGCAATTCTAGTCATAACAGAATTAGTATTTTCCAAACCCCTGTGTCTTAGAGTATTACTTCTGTTTATTAATAACGATGGTGGTGGGTGGAGACTCCCTGGATTTCTGTAGCTACCCTGTGTATTTGTATAGCACAGCCCCGATGAAGGGTGCCACCTGATGAACTGTCACATTGCTGTTTCCAGAGTTTGTCAGTGTGTCCCACTAAAGATCTTAAGTAGACTGTAGTTCTAGAAAACTAGGGTGGAATTGCATTACAAAGTAAAAAAGCTGCGATTCGTTTTCAGTGTGATGATATTATACCAATAACTGACTGGTTTTCCATCATTTGATGTACAATTCTGAAGACCTTATTCTGGTTCTGGGAAGCTGAAACAGTAGTGTATTGAAATTAATACAAAAAAGAGGAAACGTTTAAAATTCCAGTTTCAACTTGAAATGTTAAGCACACAACTGAATTAAAATAATTAAAATTTGATCTAGCTGCTATGTTTAACAGTCTTCAATAGATGTAAGCTGTCTTACAATTGAGGTTGTCTATAATATTAATGCTCTCTGTGTGTATTTGTATTCTATATTGATAGATGCACATATTGGATAGTACAGTAGTTAATGCATCCACTTGGACTAATGGTGCCTAAGGGTGTGTAGCAGGTTTTGGTAGCAGTTCACAATTTTATATAAAATTTTTTGTACTGAAGTGCTTAAAAAAAGCAAGGTTTCTCCAGGCAAACCTGTGCTTGCAGGGCTTATTTATAGATAGCTGCTTACAGCTGATTTTCTTCATTATATGAGTGAAATAAGATATCTAAGGATTACTACATTTACATTTTGCACTAAGGTAAGGTTCTTGCTGATAGGTTATTATGGATAAAAGAAATAATGGATGACCCTTATTGTCTCATCAAACAGTTCTAATGCAGATTTGTCTATAAAATTAAAGATTGAACTTTCTGCATTTTCTAGACGAGTCATTCCATGTGCTGTTTTGGTCTTTAAAATAAATAAAATCTCTGTATGCAACGCTATGATGTGAAACAAGGGAAATGGACAAAACTTAACTACTAACTGTAACAGTAATGTCACGAATCTGCATGCAATATTGACAGCTTTACCAGGGGCTGACAGACACAATTTAATTGATAGAAAACAGCACAGGTTGCAGACCAATCTCTTCTTTATTACAATATTGTAACTTCCAGAGACTGCACCGGGCAGGACTTTGTAATAGAACCAGTTTAAGCTGTGTGGATCAAACTGAAGCCTTACTTGTTGGGAGCGAGGTTATGTTTTCATGTAAAAGATGGTTGGCTACAAGCTGCTTTGAGAGCTTTGTGGATCACCTTTGGCCTGCATGTCCTGTGCCTTGGGGTCCCTTCCTTGAGGCAGTTCATCTTGGGTTTTTTGGAACAAGAGTAACAGTCAGTCAAGTAGTAAATAATGGACCAGCGACAGATGGCTTCAGTTGGTTCTCTCCTTAATGAATGTACTGTTAGGTGATTTCCAATAGTTCTGATGAAGTAAGTCCTTGATTGCGTGTTTTGTTGTCTTTTTCTGTAGCTTTTTTACAGGAAGTGGTATGGGTTTTGAAGCATTTATTACATACTCTGGGGTATTGGTGGTTGCAGTTTGCACGAAGAGGGAATATGCAACAGTCATGCTGCCTGACCATTGTTTTTTTGACTCTCTTTGGGTAAGATCTGATACTGAAAAACACTTTGTTTAGTATAGTACTGTTAGCTCAGAAGTCAAAGTTTTCTGGTTTTGGGGTTTTTTTTGGTTGTTTTACAAATGGTCTATTTTATCATATTTAAATAATTAATTGCATAAGAACAGATTTTATCTCAGTTAATGCAAGCAATTTCCATGTAGATTAGTGGTTGATTGAGCTAAATTATGCCTATGTTATTAGGCATTTGTAATTGATAAGCTGGTTACAGTGTTGTGCTTAGTTGTTTTTTTTTGTAACGTGCAGATTTTTTTATATTAAATTATAACAAGTATAAGTGGCTGTGGTGCTATGTGAGTGAATAAAATGTGCTCCTGTGTTTCTGCCTTGTTCTTTTCTATTCCCATACTTAAGGAGTGATATGCATTATCATGAAAGAGCTGTATCTCTTTCCCTTCAAAAACCTGTTTACATGTGAACTTCTTAAAATGGAAGCAGCTGATAGGTGGTCTTATCTTCTTATTGATACTTTGGATTTATTTTCTTAAGTGGTTTCTTCATCAGATTAGTTGAGATGAAGTTAAGTATTTCCATACAGTCATTTCACTGCTTTTTAATAATGACTTAATTATGTTATATTGCTTAATCAGCACAACGTAACTATTGTTCACGTGCCTGGAAAGAGGCCCTTTGGTCAGAGCCTTGTGTACATCTACGTTAATGGACAGCAGAAGGTCTCTGCCCCACTTCGATTCCCTGCCATGAATGAAGTAAGTTTACTTTCTGAGTCATACCCCTGTTGTGATGAGCTCTCATAGAACAATGAGAATACAGTTGGCTTTTTTAATCTGGAAATTGTGTAAGAGTTTAAGAGAGCTTAGCCTATTGCTAATAATCTTCTGTTCAACTTTGGACAGTGTCCAGAGTATCAATTTGGAGTATAATTAACCATTAATTAATGCTTGTTTAGTCATCGCAGTTTAAAAAAAAACACCAAAACCCCTCCCCCCAGATTACCTTGATTAGATTGTAGTGTTTTCTTCAAAATAATTACCTGAGCATAGTGACATAATTTCTGAGTAAATCATAATAAATCACAGCTCTGCCAGTAGGATTGGTGTGACAGTAGTCAATGAGGAATATTCCCTGTTGCTTTCAACAGTAACTTTTAAACTTGTATTTTCTGTATATACCCTTAGTATGCTAATCTTATACCTGCTTTGTTAGCTGGATAAGCAGTTTACAAGCAGTTAATCTAACCATTTTGAGTGTGTACACGCTTAGCCTAAAAAACCACACTAGCCATCAAAATGAGTATGTCATGTTTAGTTTTCTTTGTAAGTGTTGCCCATTCTTTTTGTAGAACAAATCCATTTTAAACTGGGCTACAGTACTGCACATTCTTCCCTCTTTTCTAAGTTCTAATTTGATATTTGTTAAATAAGTGGAGTAAACACTTAAATTGGACACAGTCGTAGTAAAACCAGTATAACACTTAAAAAATGAGAGTAAATGTAATTTCCATTGCGAGATAAAACTGGATTTTGGCCCATCCATAGAATAAGCACTATAAATATCAATGTAGCTAAAAGTAGGGCAAGTAAGCTTCCCATGAGAGCATTTATTTGAGTGGAATAACTGATACAAGAAATGTACAGTAGCAGATATGCTGGGCTAGTATTTTGGAATATAATCCAGAAGAGGAGTGTTTACCAGGGTGTCTGGAGCACCAACCTTCCTGGCTCTGCTCCTGCCAGAGGTCACACAACAGCTGAGGTGACCAAATTGCTCTTAATTGGAGAAAGGGCACTCTCCACTGTTGTGGAAAGTGTATGCTCTTTTTTTTGTCCTGCTGTGCTAGATTGCTTCTCTTCCAGGGCACGCCAGAACTTGTTGCTCTTGGTTTAACTTATGTAGTTCAGGTTTGCCAGAGATAGTCTCCAGGTTTACTTTGTAAACTGTGAAAAAAGAAGGTTACATTTACAGTATGTGTTCTGTTTTCTTTCTTCTATGTGTGACTCTCCAGTCTTTTACTTCTTGCTGCATTGGTTCAGCTGGTCAAAGAACAACAACTCCTCCTCCATCTCAGATACCAGATCCACCTTTTTCCTCCCCTATTATGCCCCATCGGACATCACTTGGGGGCATTCTCTCTACAGGAAGCTGGGGTGGGATGCTTGGAAAACCAGAGCTCATCACCAAGATGATCTCAGCAGGGACTCAGGACAGTGAATGGGGATGTCCGACATCTTTGGAGGGCCAACTTGGATCAGTTATCATCTTTCATGAAGCACTGCAACCTCCTCAGGTGAAAGCATTATATTTGGCAGGTAAGTGGTGATTGTACTGGTTTTAGTGGAATAAAAGGGATGAGTTATGGACAAGACCCCACTGAGCTTTGCTGTACACAGACACATAATGAAGAAGTTACAATCCAGAAGAATTGCAGAGGTGACCTAAGTGAGAGGGCCTTATAATAAATAAGCTTAAAATGGAATGATAGGTGGAAATTTTATTTAAAATGTTATGTTTGCATAAGCTCATCTACTTATAATATGTACAGACCTGCCAGAATCAAAATGTTAGGTAGTGTTTTCACTTGTAAGGTCTTAATTTTTACTGCTCTTAGCCTACATGTGAGTTTACAGTTGAGACTCTTTAAAGTATTGCCCTTGTTTTGGGAGGCTGCTTAAAGGTGATTTATGCTTGAGGATTTTTCCACAAGAATCAATTAATAATTTAAGGGGTCATTTAAAAAAATATTCTGATAAGCTATGTCTTACAGTTTAAAGTACTAGAGTATTAAGTTCCATAGTGACTTGAGGTTGTTAGAGATTAGCATAAAAATACTTCCATCATTGAAAGGAAGTATTTTGTATTACTAAACAAAACTATTTTGAAGATTACTCATTTTCTGGACATTTGGGCTTGATGACAGAGAGATTGGTGACAAATATGAGAGGTATTTGTAAAGACAGAAACATTGGGGCTGTTTGAATGTATAAAAAAATGCTTCTTTGTATAGTTTAGCTTTTTATCAAGAATGCATTTCTTTTTAAGCAGACCCTATGGAATGAATGATTTAAGTCATAGAGACTACTTCAAAGCATATCTCAAATAGGTATGGTGTTTGTTGTTGCAACAAAGTGTAGTAGCATAAAATTTGAGAAGGTCAGCATTAATATCCAGTGGAGTCTTAAATATATATGTTACAAATATATAATTTTATATATAATATTTTTTTAATAGGTCCAAATTGTTTAACTCCATGGAAGTCTCAAGAGGCTGAAGTAGCAGATCTCCCCAGCAAGGTACTGCTTCATTATACACCAAAGGTATGAAACAAGACATAATTTCTCTTTGATTACACAGTGTACAGTAATTTCAGAATATGTTCTAGATGGTCTTTTTTTTGCTTTGCCCTTGCTGTTTCGTAGAACAGGTGAGCGTGCCATCTTTACGCTGTGGTTATTATGGGAAGATAAAGAGCAGTGAGAGTTTTCTTAAACTGTAGTCTTGTGCAGAGATAGTAGGTTTTCTTCTTGTTTGGCAAAAGGACAGAATTACCTTGTATTATTGTGAATGTCAAATCTAAGATAACTTATATGAAGTTCCAGGGGTTTCAAATTGTTTAAATACTTTAATATCAACACAGTGGCACTAACTTCCTGAAACACATTATGCATCATTCAGAAATCTTATGTGTTCAAGGATCTGTAACTTGTTTCCTAAATGATATTGTAGCCTCTTCATTTGTTTAACAGGCCTGCAGAAACCCAATTTGTCTTGACCTGTCTGCAAATCTTTTACATGGAAGACTAACTGGAAACAAAGTAGTGAACTGGGACATCAAGGTAAATGCATACTGAAGAAGCAGAACCTGATGTATATATGACAGTGGTTGTATAAGTTCACCTAACTTTTGGAATGCCAGAAGTTATTATCATAATGCAAATGACTTTTAGCAGGTACAGCATGGTTTTGTAATGAGAATTAACGGGTTAACGCTGTAGCTGGAGTAGTATTACATTACATTTATTCAGAACTTAGAAGGACTACTGCTCTTAATGCCATAGTGCATTAAGATATTCTGTGGTAGCTGACTACTCTTCATAATCTGTTCAGTGCATGTTGTGTATTGAAAGCATTTTACCATCTAGGGGATTCTGTCATGGTTTTCTTGCAGTCTTAAACTCTGAATTAGATTAAGATTAGTAGGATTAAGTTAACTTGTGACTGTTGTGTTAGTCATATGAAAAAAAAATTATTGAATTGCTGACTAACTTCAGCAGAAAACAAGGTGTGGAGTTAAAATATTACAAGAATCTAGCATTTTTTAAAGAGGTAACTTATTCTAGTTATCTTATTTACTTTTGGTTTGGGGTTGGCAGGACTAGATGATCTCACTTCAAAAAGCCTCACTTCAAAGAAAACACCAAATATTCACTAAAGTGTTATACCTTACTCTGTCTCTGCTATACACTAATTGTCCAATATTTTTTCCTTATTGTTGGATACATTGGGATATCTGATTCGTATAGGCTATGCAAATCATCTTTGTTTAACTTTTGCTAGCAGTTACAGTCACAGCGCTACTGCTTTATTAATATTGGAGCTTAAAAATTAACATTTTATGGCTAAACCTGTTTCTAGTCTCCTGCTCAAACATTCTATTATAGCAAAACTGTCCTATATCTTGGTTTTTGTTTTGTTTTCTTAACCAACATATAGGATCCTTATGCCCTTCTGGTTAATCAGTTATTTTTTAGTCTCATGCCACTGACAGTTCAGATCTGACTTTGTACTATAGAATTAAAACTCCACACTGCCAACGAGATTTAGTGTTAGTGGTTTAGACTTTCTTGGTGCTCCATGAACAGAATACCATTTAGGCAAGTTCTATGTCCATTAGATGTCTTCTGTGTAAAATAGCAAATGGTCTTCTACTTGGTAGTTCATGGAGAGGAGGAGGAAACCATGAAATGCACACCAGCTTAATAAATATCCTTGTGTACCTGTCTGCTTATTTGTTCCCTGATCACTAACACATATTAATACAAAAAAATCAAAGTTAGGCTTAGCTCTGTGCATGAAGAGGTAATATTTGCAGCATCAGAGTTTGATCCAGAAACAGTGACATAAATAAGGATTTACTACTTTTAAATTTAAATAGTGTACATCCAATTCTGTTTTACAGGCAGAATCTTTGATTAAGGGCTCTTAGCTTTGAGGAAAAATAAAATGCAAGGTCAGTGTAGAAAACTTGTCAGTAGAATGCAACATCTTTTTTTTGTCTTGAAGAAAAATGTGCAAACAAATAAGAGCTGTTTTTTTTTTTAAGACCAGTGAACAAGCAACTGTACTAGCAAACTAATTAATAAAGAAATATTGTTGGAGCTACACTGTGCATATGCTGAATTGTAGAGATTAACGTTAAGAAAATTCAGACACTTGCCAAGTAATTTTGCTATTATGTGAATAGTTTGAAAATACTGCAATTTTTCTTCAGCGAGTAGTGGGAAGAGGGGTGTGTGAGGGGTGTTTATGTCTCTAGCTTTATGGGAAAGCATATTGTGAGCACAGGTTTTAGGAGAATCGTTGGTTAACAAACATTATGGGGTTTAGCACCCCCTTGAGGAGGACTAGAGTGAGGAAAAAACAGAAGAGCTGATCTGGAGCTCATGAGGAGATAGGTACAGTCTAGAAGGAGCTACAGTTACTGTGGTCATGTGGTTCAGACAAATTCTGTTTTTCAACTTTAAGTTGATTTCTCTTTCCAAAAACTGCAGGTCTGTGGTGCCTCTTGTTTTGCTCAACAAACATAGAAATCTTCATCCATGAGAGAAATTTTGCAGATTTAAAAAACTTTCTTAATTTTGTTAAATTCACCTTAATAAGTTCACTAAAATTCACCTTTTGTTAAATCCACCTGGCCTGGAAAGGGGGCATCATAAAGGCACATGGAGCAGAGTAACAATTGGAAAAGTAGAAAACAATGGAGAAGGAAAGGATCATTTTCTCCACTTCTCCCCAACATTTCTGACTGGGAAGGAAGAGTGAGATCCCACATTATTAGACTGGCTTACAGGATGTTGGGGTTTTTTGGCTGTTAAAATTTTACTACACAACAGTTTTCATTGTGCTAAGCTGGGCAATTGAATAGGTGTTTCTGGCTAGTTTGCTGAGACCCTGATTTTCTAAGTGGCATTGTGAATCACTTCTAGAAATCTTGTGATTTGAATATGTTATACCTTACCACAAGAAGCATTGTTTGAAGTCTCATGCTATCACTGCTTGTGAGGAGGGGGGAAAAAGGGGAGCTTAGGAGACTTGAATTTGAAAAAGGGCTTAGAATTGAGGTATGTGTAAAGTTACTTTAAAAAAAAAAAACAACAGATTTTATTATTTTTTTAATTGCCTGAAGTTGAAATCTTGTAGGAATATGATTAAGGCACAGTTGTGTATAATCTTTTCTTATTGCTTGCTGCGAGTAACTTAGAAATCAGAAAAGTATGTTTTTCCCGTTTTTCAACTATATTTAGCAGAAGATTCTTTCTAAGATTTGTATCCTTCAATTTCCCATGTTTATGTGAGGAGAGGAGGAAGGAAATGTAAAATGTACTTTCAAAGCAAGAGCTGAGAAGAAGGCATGTGTGTAATTGCTGTATCTAAAATTTGGGCAGCTCTGTTAAACACAGTGTTTTAAACTAGTTTCAAAGTGGTGTGTAAAACATCCTGATAAATTTGTGAGTACATAAGGTTCCTTGTATTTGGAGTAAATTTCTGTTTTGTAGTTTAGGGGATTTTATTTGTAGTGATGATGTTCTTCCTTTTTCCTCTTGATTTAGGATATGATCAACTGTATTGGTGGAGTAAATGTGCTGTTTCCATTGCTGGAGCAGATCAGTTTTCTTGGTGGACAGATGCCTGAAAAGTCTGAAGGGGAAACTCTACCTCCAGAACTAGTTACTCCTGTAGAGGAAGACTGGGTGGTATTGTCATCCACAAAGGCATCAGGTAAGAAAGTACAGTTGAACTGAAATAATTTTTCAGCTTGATTTTAAAAGTCTTCCTATGAGTGACAGAAAGCTGTTTTATTATGTGCTGGCTTTTCCGGACTACCTATGTAAAGCTGAAAGGCTCTCTTGCTGTACCTAGATATCTGATGTGGATACCGAATACCAGGAGTTCAGCACTATCTAAAATTGACTTAGTAACATATTTCAAATATAGCTACATTTAAGAGCATTATTTTTCTTTTCATTATTTACTATTACATTAGTGTCAAAGTATGCAGTTGTTAAATTTCTATTCTGAAAAGTTTGTTCTGATTATTTTAAGAAATTATGTTTGATGCAAAGCCTGCTAATATACATAGGAGGAGCTTTCTACAACTTGAGTGCTGGGTCAGCCACACGAAGACTTTGCAGCATCAGAACAGTACTGTTTAGCCTTTACCCAAACTTTTATTTTCTTAAGAAAACATTCAGGCTGCTACCTCTTCCACACACAGTCAGATTTTAGTATTAAAATTTGAAAAAAAAGGAAGGGAAGCTTTAAGACTAGATTTTTAAAAAGTGTGCTAATATTGAGAAAAAACTTTGGTCTTAATGGAAACCACTGGGAAATCAGACCTTGCAAGGGAAAACAGCATTTTTTTTGTTTCAAATATGGAATGGTGGAGTAAAGCAGAAAAAAACCCCAAGTATCTTTTTCTCTCTCTCTTAATTTTTTGGGTATCGTGGCTAGAAAGTGTCAGTTTGCAACTAGAGGAAGGATAACTGCAGCATATATAAAAGATTGTAACTGAGAAGTTTGTCTGTAACCTACAGCCAGATGGATGAAGCAACAGAAGTCAGGACTGGGGTCAATTTTATTCTAGAGAAGCATGGAATGATTATGACTCTGCACAGGAAAAAATCTAAACACAGCCTGCAGCTAGGGACCAAACAGAAAAGGAGTTGAGAAGTTCAGGAAATAGTGAGGAATACAGACACTTGATTTTACTTCTTCCCCTCTACTTTTATGCAGTGGTCCAACAATAAACCATGAGGCTTTTGCTGCTGCTGTTCTGTTTTGCAGAAGCACGCCTGGAGAAGAACATTGTTGCAACTTTTATCTTGATGATAAAACACTTCATTCAGAGACACCATGTAAATCAAGAAAATCTCATTCACTCCCATGGAGTTGCCACACTAGGAGCCTTGTTACAGAAGGTGAGCAAATTTGAGAAACGTCCTTTAGTAATGAATGTTGTGGATGAGGTCCTGATTACTTTGAAACATTCTTAGTTTGGCCAGGATGCCAAAGGTCTTTAAAGGTCTCCTTAGTACATGCTTTTCTTTTCTCATGTTTCTGAAAACAAAGATGTGAGGAGGTTGGTCTTGATCTGCAAAGTGAAATACCATGTTTTGTCTTTTTTTCATGTTCTGCTTTTTTGTTATTAGATACTGTGTTGTATGATCATTCAAACTAGACTGTTTCTTGTATTGCTTCAATGGAAGCAGACATTGGTGTAGAAGATAAAAGAATCTCAGAATTTGATTTAAAAAAAAAAAGTTTAGTAGGATATTCAATATTTTGAGTGCTAACACTTGTTATTTTGAAAGGTGCCAAGCAACTTAATGGATGTGAATGTACTGATGGCTGTACAGTTGTTGATAGAACAAGTCTCAGTAGAAAAGAACATGCAGCTTTTGCAACAGATGTATCAACACTTACTTTTTGACTTCAGTATCTGGAACAGTGGGGACTTCCCCTTCAGAATTGGTGAGCTGGTGGACTTAGGCAACTGTGCAAAGACACAGTACTCTTCACGTGACATAAACCTTTATCTAGGTTCTAATAGAAAACTTTATATTGTAGGGCATATACAATATCTTTCTACAATCATCAAAGACAGCAGAAGACTCTTCAGAAAGAAATATGGTGTGCAGTTTCTTCTAGACACACTCAGGATTTATTATGGGTATGAGTTTTACCTCTTCTAACTCCTCATCTATTGTACATGGCTGTTGCGTTGTGTTTTTTTCCCCATCATCCTAGTGAGAAAATTAATAAATAAAACTGCAGGTTGTCTTTTGGAGGTTGATTTAATTTTCAAAATAGCATTGATTATTTTTTTTTTCCATTTGACTTGATGCTTTTCCTTGACTTTAATTTTTATGATAGGATTATATAAAATTTATGTCAATGATACTAGAAATGCTTGGAAAAGTCATTAAAATTACAAAATTGAAGGACTTGTTATCAACAGTGCAAATTAAGTCATAGATCATTACCATTATGAAGGGAGAGGGTGTTTATCATTTTAAGTTCTTTTATATCCTTGTAGAATTTGAAGTAGGACTTTTTTAGGAATTTAAATTTTAGCTTTCAGTCTTGGTGATTTATATCTGCTTATGAATATAGTTATGTCATTAAGGAACATTGGCTAGAGACCTTGCTCTTTATTTTAAAGGGTGGGAGGGGGGAACCTGAAATCCTGACCTCTATCCAGATCAGTACAAGTCTACATTTCAGGGCTTTTATAGACTTGGGAAGTCTGATCTACTATTGCTGATTACTATTCAGCTGCCTTATTTCAGTAAAAATTGATAGCTTGTGCCACGATGTCAGTAGATGAAAAATTGCAAAACTAGCACAATCAAATTGATATTAATGAGTCACAAAGAACTTCCTCCAGGTTGGTTTTCCTGTCTGTTGGTGTATAGGAGTGGCTGTAAAGACAGTGATTTGGCTCCTGATGACCTGAGAACAATACGGACATCCCTCTATGGACTAATCAAATATTTCCTGAGCAAAGGAGGAACACATGAAGAAATACAGAGCATCGTAGGATACATAGCTGCCACCAGTGAAGAGGAGCAGGTATCCAATATGGCATAAATTAATACTTTAAACCATACATGTTTTGGTTTTGCTTCTTGGTGTTTAGAAAGCTTGTGTCTTGTGTGATTAAAAGAGGGGGGAACAAAAAAGAAAAAAAGACTACAAGCAAAGTGTTACTTGATGCATGGTTCTGTTTAGATGTAGCTTAGGCAGGTTATAGAAGAACTTGGCGAAGTGTTGTGCAGGCGGCCATATTTTTACTGGTTATTTTTTTTCCCCTGAAGAGGGCAGAAAGCACATGATGTGCAATACTGCCATTAGAAAAGTTCTTTTAGTTTACAAAACCAAATGAATTGGACTTCCAACTGATCAGAAGTTGTAATGATGTGGTTTCTATTTTGTAGACATCAACAGAACTTCAACTTGCTTTGTAGCTCTAATTACAGTTTGATAAGCTGTTCTGTATATAGAAAGAATATATTAAAAATCTAATTTTAAATGCAGTAATATTGAGCAGACAAAATGTCTGTTTTGTAACAAGCAAGGGTAAAATTTAAAAGCCAAGAAAATTTTCCCCAAACAGAGCATGAAGTCTGAATGAACTGTGGATTAATTTAGTTGTCTTAATTTTGTAGCTCTGTGGAATCCTGGATGTTCTCTTCAGTCTACTTCATTCCAGCCCAACCCCAGACCAGCTTTTTTTATTGCTTTTTGAACCAGGGAATGCTGATATTCTTTATGCTCTGTTATTGCATCAAAGATACTCTGACAGGCTTAGAGAACTTGTATTCAAGGTAATGAATTGAATTAGATGTTCTTAAATTAATCAGTTGAACATAAAATTGTATTTTTTCAATGATCTGACTGCAGAAGTGTATCCAATTGCAAAGATACTAATGATCCAAGTTTTAATTTTTTCTTGTCTTTTCTGTTAGCTAGATGTAATTGTTTACTACCATAGTCATAATCGAATTAGTGTTCTCTTGAAGTGAAGTATTGGGATCTTAAAAAAAAAAAAGTCTATGTTGTTTGAGTTGGCTTACGAAGTCAACTTTAAAACCAGTGGACTGGCATGTTATATCATACACAATTAAGTTTAAGAGGTCTGGGTGCTCCCTTGTGTTTATTTTGCATTTGTGTGTACTTTTTCTTGCAGATTGTAGAAGAGATGCTGAAATGTACTAAAGTTTATGAACGTAGTAAGCACCGTATGAGACTCAGAGAAGTGGGATACTCTGGACTGGGGCTCCTTCTGAATGAATCACCAGTTGCTGTTTCTCTTATTAAAAACCTTCTTAACCAAGTTCTGTATGCAGGTAAATGGCAAGTGTTGTGTCTACCATTAGCAAACTCCTGCTGCTCAGAGGCAAACATATTTGGTTTTTTGTTCAGGAAAACCAGAGCTGTTCTGTTCAAAGTTCCCATTAGTCTCAGCTAACATTTTCTTAGTTCCCTGAAGTTCGTTCCCTTTACTACCCCTGGATGCGGAGGTGACCTCCAAGGCAATTTTTAATATTTAGCTATTACATTCTCTTGAATGATATTGTTTGTGTTGTTTTTTCTTTCTCCCCTACAGATCCTGCTGTGAATTATAAAGATCTCATAGCTGTAGTGCATCTGGCTCATAGATCAGATATAAACGTGAGAGTGGTTATCTGTAGAAAGGTAAGTTGTCTTCTTTAAAACTGGAGTGTTGTCCTTTAAGCCCATAAGCTGTACAGCGTGATATCTTAATTATTTATTTGAGAGACAGCGGTGGTATTTGTTGCTACTGCCTTCTTTAGCAATGATTTATGTTAAAAATGAAGCCTATCTGTCACTTAATGTATTCAAGTCCTTTTAAAAAAACAAAATAAAAAGTAAAGCCTCTATCATGATTCTTAAATAGCTTGTATTTTCTACAGGTTAGAGATAGTAGACTCCTTGAATTACTGAGTTTTCTCAAACGATGCTTAAGACTATGATCAAAGTTTTGTTTGTATTCTTAATATGTTAATTTGATAGAACATATTATGGTTCAAAAGAGTGGTTGTGGATGCAGGGAAGAGATAGGGAAGAAGCAGTGACTTCCTATACTGAGCTCTTTCTGGCTTATATCACTGGAATTAGTACTGAATGTAGCTGTGAGGCACTGTATTGTCTGTTACAGTTTCTCAAAGTGAAAAAAGTGAAATGATAATGTACACTATTGGTAAGCTATTAATATGCAGCTTTCTTAATTTTATCTATTTAATAGTTTCTACATATTTTCTGTTCTAGATTTTCTTTTTTTGTAGTCTAGTAGCTGAATAGGATTGTTTGTTGTGATAACTGGCTTTTGCAGGAATTGTTGCAGAAGAGTGGCTGAAATATGAGGACTTACCAATATGCTTTGATAGCTTCTTTTCTTCCTTACTCCTGAGAATTTTTTTCTTTTTTCTTTTTTTTCCCCCCTCAAATATATATTTCTAATGAGAACAATGGTTTTGTGGCTTGTTTGCTTATTATTAACCAATTGTGGCTCTTTTACAAGGTTCTAAAAAAAAAAAAAAAGCAAAAAAGTTGTAACACTGTAAAACATCTAATTGAAAAGCTAGAATGAATGCCGTTACAAGCTAAAATTAATGTGTAGGTATGGGATATCTTCCCCTATCCTTAGGTTTTGCACCTTTTGCAATCCCACTTGGATGCAGCACAACAGATTTCTCAGCAGCTGGGCTGGCAGGACACTTTGATTAGACTATTCCTGAAAGAAAACTCAGAGGTCCGGATTGGCTTTAAAGAGAACAGAGCTGATTCCTCAAGGGAAGAGGAAAAAAAGCGTCCTGCTGAAGAGCTTCAGAAATATCAAACTGATAAGACAGAGGGAGACAAAACTGTCAGCTTTGCATCTGTTAATGGTCTGTTTGATCAGTGGAGTTTAGAAGACAACAAATCCCTGGATGTCCCTGCCCATTTCTCTGTTATGCCGCTGGAAGATGCATCCACAGCAGAGATGTCTTTTAGGTCAGAGGACCGAGAAGAATTGTGGCACAGTAATCCTTCACATTTGAGTTTAGATCTCTCCAGTGTTGACTCTTATGAATTGGCTGACATTGTGAATCAGATGACAGATAGCCAGCCCAGCACACCGTCACCTATAGAGAACACAAAACCATTCTCTGGACAGCCTGACAAAGAGCTGGGCGTTATAAATGATGTGGGCTTCACCGCTGATCTTTCTTTATTGGAAAACCAAGGAGTAAGTAATTCACTCTTTATGTGGTTAATTTCTCCAAATGTCTGCAATTCCTTTTTTTTTGTTTTAATCATCTCCCTGATGGATAATTATTGTCCTTCCCTCCGCCCCCCTCCCATTTTCTAACAGAAATGCAAACAATATAGCTCTTTTATAGTGGGTAGGGGTACTTCCTTTCCTAATGTGTCTTCTTTTTTGGTTGTCTAGTTGGAATAGCTTTGATGTTAAAAAAAAAAACAAAACCACACACCACCCCCCCAACCCAAACAAAAAAACCAAACAAAAAAAAACCAAACAAAAAATCTCCCACAAATAAACAAAGAAAAACCTCTACAAACTCACCACCCTCCCTTCTATATTTCAACATCCTTTATCTTCCAGAGGCGGCATGGAGCAGACTTGCTGTGGAAAAAATCAAGGGTAGCTAAAGGTCAGACTGAAATAATGATGTAGAAGTCAAGTTAGTATGTATTACACCATAAAAGCAAGCCACAGTCTCTTATATTTGCATTTTCATGTATTTAGCAATTGGATTTTAGACTTCAGAGTTTTCAGAAATGCTGAAACATGCAAGCATAGGGACTGTGATGAATGAGAAATGTTTCAAAGGTTTTCTGAACTAGAAGGGCTGTAAATATTTGTCTTCTTTTGTAGGGGGGTGATAATGAGCTCATACAGTTACTTACAGACATCTTACTGTGTATAATGTGGAAAGGCATTGAAAAATCTGATGATGATGCTTGGATTGAGAGAGGACAGGTGTTTTCTGCACTGACCAAACTGGGGATATCTAATGAGTTGCTGCGACCTTCTGATGAAATAAAACTCAAGTGAGTGTACAGTTCAAGGATGGGTTCTTTCATCGCTTTTGAGAAAAACAGAGAAAGCAAGGGGCATTAATGAAGCTGGGGAGGGGTGGGTGTTTTCCAGCAAGGTGTACTTTTCTTTGCTTTTTCTTTGCATACTGTTAGAAGTATATTCCACTAACTATTTAGTAGTGTCATGTGACCATAAGATTTTGAAACTGTATCGCTGACTTCATGAGCTTCTCAAAATCTTTTACCTCATCAGCTTATCGAGAAGATGGCAGTTATGTCACTGCAGACTAAGAGATTCAATTAAATACCTAATTGGATTTTTTTAAAGCCACTTACACTTAGAACATGTAATAATTACTTTGGGATTTTGTTTTCCATGCAGCTTACTGGAGAAGATGTTAGAATGGTCAGTTACTGATAACAGAGATTCAAAAGCTCTCCCTACACATGCTGAAAATGCCTTCAAGCTCTTGCTAATTGTACAAGATTTCCTGCAGGCAGAAGGACTAGTTAATTCAAATTTATGGACAGAAAAGGTACAGTAACTGCATAATGGAAGTAATGTATATAGGCTGAAGTAGTAATGAAAACGGTGTCGGCTTGGATACTGTCATCCCTTCTAGGTATATATTTTTAAACTATAGAGTAAGGGTTCATAGTGAAATGGATTACATTGCCCCTTAATAATTAAAAAAGTGTGAATACTTACTACAGGGAATAATATAGTTAATTCAGCAAATTAAATAGGCCTCTAAGTGGTACTCTTTATTAAAAATCCAGGTCTTTTCAGACTGGAGAAATATTTAGAAGATGTAGGAGCTAATGAAACAATGTCAGTTGTAGCCTAAGCAGATTTTGCACCATTTATCAGCATGTATGACTCATTGTGTGTGTCCTGAATAAAAGACCAGCCAAAACGCTGCTCTCAGTTGCAAGCTGAGAAATGTCACTTCTGGGCTTTGACCCATATTGGCGTTTCAACATGACTTTGTGTATATATATGCAAATAGCTCGATTTTATGTATTAGAGTCAGAAACATGAGGTCTAAGGAAGAAAATGACTAGCAGACACAGTAAGTAGTAAGGTAAAGAAGCTTTCTGTCACCTGGCTGTTTCTCCTGCCTTGTTGACATATATGTTGTAGACATACATAATTGGCCTCAATGTTTGTGTAATTTCTGGCAGTGGTCTTGCTTCCTTCACTGTCTGAGTTGTCATTGCTTTTCCATTTTTCAAGGCTAAAAGGCAGAGGTATTTTATGGAAACCATCATTATATCATGATAAATCCTTTAAAAAATCAGGTTTTTTAAGGCTACTTTTTTTGGGGGGGGGGGGGGGGGGGGGGGGGGGGGATTTT